TACGTTCGTTTTTATACATTTTAAGGCACACATATGGCGAAAGCCGCTTACGCAATAGTTCTTTTTCTTTTTCAATAAAAAGTTTATTTAAATAAAAAAGAAAAAAAAAAGAAATTCATCATAGACAAACGATGGGGGCGACTATCGAATGAAATCAGCCCATGCTTGAATTTTATCGATTAATCAAACGCTAGATATAGAATGAATTTCCAGGAACGTACTAGACCTTAGAACCAGTTTCATAAAAAATTGGTCGAATCAAATTTGATTATCTTTTATATCTATCTATAATAACTATAACAGTGTGACGAACGTACATACATATAGTGACCAATCGGTGTGACGGACGTACATACGTATAGCCACTGACGAGTGTGGTGGACATAGATGCACATAGGTCGATGCGTTCGAGTTTTCTGTGGTAGCAGAGAAGTGAAACACTTATCCTGGCTGCGAACGCGGACCGAAGGGACGCGTGAGCATTGTGTGGAATTCAGAATGGCTATAGACTTACAGTCACTTGAATAAATAAATAACGTGAATAAAGTGAATCGCATCGATTCACTAATTCCATTGCCTGTAGATCGAGTGAATGAACTGTCGGGATTATTAGTCATTGTTTTGCAAGTCGTTCTTATTCCATTGACTGTAAGTCTATGGTCATACGAAACAAAGTTGGTCATACGAAAAAGTACAAAGTGTGTGTGTGTTTGTCCGCAAAGAGGTGTGACGGACGTACATAAATATAGCCGTGTGGCAGTGTGACGGACGTACATACATATAGTCATGTGGGAGTGTGACGGACGTACAGACGGGGAAGCACTAATGAGTGTCATGGACAAAGACCTACATGGGCATATGCGCTCGCGTTTTCTGTGGAATCAGAGACCTGTAACACCTACCCTGGCTGCGAGCGCGGACCGAAGGGACGCGTGAGCATTGTCTGAATTTCAAAATACTTTTAGAACTCTGGGGTTCTTTGGGGGTCAGATAGAACGAAATCGAATTACATAGACGTTGTCTGGAATTCAGAAGTGTTTGTAAACCTCGGGAGTTCTTTAGTTGCTCTGGAGAAATCTTGTATAGACTGAAGCTACTTTATGAAAGTGACACATCATATCAGAGAAGTATTCATAACGCATGGTAGATAGTACCTAGCGAACACTGACCGAAGGGAGGTGTAAGCGTTGTTTCGACGAACTAGGCCAAACGTTGCCCCCCGTCTGGTTTTGTTATCAAGGCTAAGAAAACTGATAGATTCGTCCATTTCGAACGTCTGTGTAGCACATGAAAGCAAATCAAATTACGGAGTCTCGATGAACTACAGAAATTCTGATAAACTTTTGTAACCCGTGAAAAGGTATAGCAACTACTTGTGTAAACTACGATGGAAAATATGCAAGCACTCATCGTAAAAATACGCATCAGTTCTGTCGTAATAAGATCGGGCTACAACAGAATGAAATAATATTCGTGACACGACATTCATTCGACTTACAGTCAATGGACTTAGTGAATCGATACGATCCACTGACGTTATTTATGGTCATATGAAAAAAAGTTGGTCATAGGAAAAAGTAGAAAGTGTTTGTGTGTGTGTCCGTACACGGGTGTGACGGACGTAAGCACACACGGTGACAGACGTACATACATATAGTGACTAGTGAGCGTGACGGACGTACAAACATATAGTCATGTGGGAGTGTGACGGACGTACATACGTATAGTCACTGAGGAGTGTGGTGGACATAGATCCACATAGGTCGATGCGTTCGAGTTTTCTGTGGTAGCAGAGAAGTGAAACACTTATCCTGGCTGCGAACGCGGACCGAAGGGACGCGTGAGCATTGTGTGGAATTCAGAATGGCTATAGACTTATAGTCACGAGAATAAATAAATAACGTGAATCGCATCGATTCACTAAGTCCATTGCCTATAGGTCGAGTAAATGAACTGTCGGGATTATTAGTCATTGTTTTGTAAGTCGATCTTATTACTACAGAACTGATGCATATTTTTCGCGATGATAACGTCCATATTTTCCATCTTAGTTTACAGTAGCAGTTGCTATAGGTTTTCACCGATCAGAGAAGTTTTGCAGAATTTCTGTAGTTCATCGATACATATAGTCATGTGGTGGTGTGACGGACGTACATACATGTAGTCATGTGGCAGTGTGACGGACGTACATACATGTAGTGACTAGTGAGTGTGACGGACGTACATACATATAGTCATGTGGCAGTGTGACGGACATAGATCCGCATGGGTGCATCTATGCGGGCTTTCCAAGAAATCAAAGAAGTGTATTTACTCCTATTCTGGCTGCGAGCGAGGACCGAATGGACGCGTGAGCATTGTCTTGATTCATGACAAAAAGGTGTTCAAGTATGGTTAGATGCACAATTATTAGTTATTATGGGCGTTAAAAAGGAAGGAAAAGTTTCTGTATAGCAGACTTTTTATAAGTTGTTTCTGTAAGACTGATGCCCGTTCACTTTAGTCTGATTATCTGTGTAATTTTTTTCTACCTGTTTCGCTTAAACATTTCGAAAGTCTATATTACAGATAAAGCCAAATCAAGAACAAACAAAAGAATTACAAAGACTCGATGAACTAGACAAACTGACTAAACAACGTTATGACGCTTTCAAATTTTTCGAGAGTAAATTGCATTTTCGTTAAAGGTTCTCATTTCGATTTTTTTCTATCATGTAACGTGAATATATGAAAGAAGCCAACAGCCTGAGCTTTATCAAATTTAACTCTTAAAATCGCATTTGCGTGTTCATGATCTCACTGTTCAATTCTTGAATAGTATCTGTGTGGGATCCTGGCATCCTCCAATTCAAAACTATGTAGTGGTGCCATAGTCGATTACCTATTCCCCATCATTTTTTTCCATTCAACTCGAAAGAACATTTCTGACCAATAGAATGCCTCCTACAGTTCTGTCATGGTCATTTTCGGATCCCTTATAGTCGAATACTCATTCCGCATCATTTTCATCCAATCAACTCGAAAGAATATCTTTGACCAACAGAATCGTCCTAGGGTTGTCTCATACTCATCTTCGGATTCCTCGTAGTTGATTACCTATTCCGTAGAATTTTCATAAATTTATTCCGGCGGTCGAGGATTCCAGGATCCTGTCCCTGCGTCGGAATGGGAAAACTACATCTCTGCTCAATTCTGTAGTAACAAGATGCAGTTACAATAAAATGAAGAATATTCTCGACACGATATTCATTCGACTTACAGTCAATGGACCGAGTGAATCGATGTGATTCACGTTATTTATTATATATCATTCGAAAGCTTTTTTTTTTGCTATATTTCTGTATATGTGATATAATGATGTAAGAATGTATATCACATATACAGAAATAGTCATTCTGATGCCGAGTATGTTTAGAAATACTTCTTGCTATGGAAAATGATCTCCTACATGCAAAACGTCTCAGAAATTCTATGTCAACATTTCTCATTCCGGTCGCTAGACCATCGTGGCCTGATGGTCTAGTGGTATGATTCTCGCTTTGGGTGCGAGAGGCCCCGGGTCCGATCCCCGATCAGGCCCTTTTTTGCCATTTTCTTTCTCTTCAGTCTTATTCTATTAAAAATGGTGTCAGCCTGTCACACTTGAAGAGGCTGCTAAATGAGTTCCTATACAGGAAGATACCTTTCTAATCGTTGTTGGAAAAGTTTATTTGAAAATCGTATCTCTTCTGTTATAGATTCTCTGCGGTACATTTCTTCTTTTGGTTTTTGTACCCTTTGTGCAAAAACAGCCGCAAATCGCGTTCTTTGCCAATAATACAACTAGCAATAAAAAATAAAGCATCGTGTTTTGTAGTATGAAACTGCCCTCACACAATATGCACTTTCTCGTACGCAAAAGTATTTTAAAAAACCTAAACTTATCGACACGTCTTATCCAACATATTGGATATATTCTCATTAGTTGGTGTTGTCGATAAGAGGTGCGAAAATGAAAAGAAGAAACGTACCGTAGAGAATCTAAGGTACCGGCAATACGAAATTCGAGTAAAAAGTTTTTTTTCGCCTTTTTTACACCATTTGATAGAGTGTGAGCTGCTGATCACGAAAATCTACTTTTTAGCCATAGCAAATGCTTCCTTCCGGTCAAAAAATACGAAATACTCGAGAGATGTCGTTTTTCGAGAAAAACACATCTTTTTCGAAATGTGCAAAATTTTCTACTTTATTTTTTCTTCCAGCTTCTGAAACTAATTTTTTCAGATTCAGCATCAAAAACTGAGTACCCAGACGGTGCTAAAATGACTCTAAACTCAAAACTCTATTGGTGGTGGCGCTTCGAATCACATCGAGTTCACAACGTATAGGTCGATTTTGTGAACCTATCTAGTTTTCTACGTAAGTGATGGAGTCAAATATTTTATCTCATTCGACTCATCATACCACCACTCACAAAGTTGCAGACTATTTTTTTTTCTTTTGCTTGCTGTGTTGAGAAAAATCGTTTTTACTGGTATCATAGTCATTTTAGGCGGTATTCAAGGTTTTCGAATTCAAATAAGACTTTTAGTCATAAACTAAATACAGATTTGGTATCAGCACAAAAAGCTGAGTCGAATGAAGTGTATTTCAAGTCAATTTAACAACTTTCATTTTTTGACCTGTATACATGTTAGCTTTCTCAGTACTTGTCTTCTCTTGATCGGTACGCTGGCGTCCGTATATTCAGATCCAACTCAGGGAACCTTGGCTCCGGGTGGAGTCGAGAAAGGCTAACAGAACTTCTTACCTTCACTTGTTTGACTATTTAGTGGACTATTTAGTGGAAGTGTAGAGATTTAAACAAAACTAAACAAAACAATCATAAGGAAATATCTGAAAAAAAACGGCAAAAGAAAACAGCAGAAAACCAAAAAGGCTAATTAAAATATGTTGATAAATTGATGATAATGTTGTATGTCGAAAACGTCATGAGGTAATGTGCGTATAAGTAATTGATGTTATTGTTGATTTTTAAGTGTAATTGTTGCACTGCAACCAGCAGTGATTACTTTTGCATATGGTATACCGTAGTCCTTCAGAATAGATTTAATCATTGATATATTGAATGTTCGATAAGAACTTCGTTGAATGTTGGATTGTGATTGAAGTTGATTTTGTTTTCTGTGACGTTTGCGATTTCGTTTATGTCTGGCATGTGCTGATCTATAAGTATTTCTGTTGTGTGGTCGTGGTTGTTGAACTGGTTGTGGTTCTGGTATATCAGTTGGACTCTCATCTTCTGATGCTGTGATATTATCATACATAGCTGGTTGTTCATTTAGTTGTTAGGCTAAATCTGTTAGACTTTCATCCATAGTGTACTGGTTGTATTCATGTTGGTGTTGATCTTGTGTAAATTGGGTTGAATCTGCCAAGTTGTCTTGTATATTTTGTTGGTTAAACTCGTCTTGTTGTTGATGTTGATGATTGTCTTGTATTTCCATTGTTATTTTACGATGATTTAATTTTGATTCTTGATCTTGTCGAATGTACGATAACAATAAAGTTACAGCTAAACAATCATCGACGGCGTATTTGATTAATGTTTGGCGTAGTTGTTTTTGTTTATTGTGATAATGTGTTCTTCTTTCACCAACTAAGTTGGCTGACATCCAGGTTAAGAGACAAGAATCGAGGCCACATGACCAATTTGACAGCGTTGACGATTTCTCGAGAAATCGTCCAAATATTATTGCGATCGCTTTTTGTAGAGACCATTGATCCGTAGCATTCTTATAAGGTTGATGAGGACACGAACAGTTGGGATGATCTGGTTCGGATTTTTGATTAAAAAATAAATCGTCATCCGGAGTATTGAGAATTAATACATCTTCTTCTTGTAATGGTAAGTTGAAACGGCAACAATCCGCACTATGCGGATGCGCCCAATTATACTATTGCTCGAAAATTTGTTGTACATTGACTTTTTGACGTATATCACACAACCGAAATAGTTGTAAATGAATGAAGGATTGTAATTCGTCCTTAATGGCACCTCAGCTATAAAATTCATTGCCCGGATCAAATATAATTGTAAATAATTGTTTAATTAATTCATGTGCTTCGGTCAATGGTTCCGGTAGATACGTTGTTTCAATTAATAATACAATTGATTTTCCCGATGTTTTTATTGCTTCAATTTGTATAAGGGCCGGTTCTCCGGATCTGAAGTCGGTTTCGGTGTCTATTGTATAACGATGTATAAGTTTCAATTCTGCGATTAATGATTCGATTGTTGAAACTTCTGTTTGGGAATCAATAAAAGTGATTGAATAAGAAGAACGAGGAACATCGAATATTGCGAGTTGTTGTTGTAGTTCTTAATTTTTAATTACTTTTTTAGTAGCTCTTCGCCAATTACGTAATTGTTTCCCATGTATATTTGTTGGAGGATTATTAATGTCCCGAACGAAACGATCAGCCATGTTGAACTTATATTACTTAGAATAAGAAAAGAAACAAACATGATAGTCATAGGTAGAAACCTAAATTTTCTGGAAAAAAGTGCTCAAGCTATTCGCGTCCGAATGCTCGACAACTGGGTGAAACTCGTTCAAGCGTTTTGTATTATTTATAACACAAATTCAATCTGTTAACGTATATATATATATTACAAAAAGTTTTTAATTAAATTATACCCGGAATATAATAAATTAAAAAATTTCTAGGTTATCAGGAGAAAAACTTCTGTGGACCTTTCACTTAATCAGACAGAGTCGGTTCGACCAACAACACTTTCTTAAACCTGGCAACATGTTAACAGATCCGAATAAATGGAAATATCATACAAAACTGAATGATAGTTGGTATTGTATTAATTATAGCTTAGTAATAAATAAATTAAATTGTCCGGATATACACCGGTGCTAAGTCGGGCGTTGTAACTTGTTTTGTGTATTCTGGATTACTATCTTGATCTGGGTCCTCCAGTTTTACTATAAACGTTGCGGGTCCTTTTTGTTCAATTATTCGGGAAGGTCCTTCAAATTTTTCCTGGAGTTTTGACTTCTTGTCAAGAACTTTCACCAAAACAAGTTGATCAATGAAATATTTCGGATCAGGCCTGTTTTGATCAAATCTTGCCTTTGTCAGTTGATTTTGATATTCCATATTTGCTTTTGCACATTTTTTCAAAATTTTTCGTGATTTCTGGATTAATTCATAATAATTGTTCGGCTTAGAGAGAGTGATTTTTGCTTGTTTTGTTTCAGTTGGTAGACGAGGCTCTCTTCCGAACATTAACTGAAATGGTGAATAACCAGTCGTTGCGTGTTCACCTGTATTATATGCATAAACACATGCTGGTACAAAGTCATCCCAATTGTTTGCTTCTTCTTCCCATAATTTGGCTAAAGCGGGACTAAAAGTTGCATTGAATCGTTCTGTCTGACCATTTGTCATCGGATGATATGGAGTTGATAAGATGTGAGTTGTATTACATTGTTTGACGATGGCATTGGTTAATTCAGAGACGAAGTGCGAACCTTGATCCGTAAGTAGCTTGGTTGGAGCATCGTAACCCCAAACTACCTCCAGAAAAAATTGTGATGCGTCTTTTGCTGAATTTGTTGGTGTTGGTTTTGCAAAAACGAACTTAGATAAATAATCTGTCATTGTGACTACGTATTGATTGCCATTTGCCGATGGTTGCTGCGTTGGCCCCCAAAAATCCATACCTACCATACCCAAAACTTCGTCTGGAACTGGTATTTGCTGCAGTTTTAGTTCTCCTATAATTGTATTTTGCGCATTTGAGGCATGATTGTATATAATTTGTAATTGTATGTTTCATTTTCGGCCAATAATACTTGTTCTGCAGTTTCTTGTATGTTCTTTCTATGCCAAAATGAGCACTAGAAGGATGATCGTGGTATAAAAATAAAATTTCTTTAATTAATGTTGCAGGCAAGCACAGCAATTTAATTTTCGTAGCTCCTCGAGTAATAAGTTTATAACATATACCATCAACAAATTCATAAGACTGATTCTTCTTATGATGTTTGATTTTGTCTTGTATGTCTTGATCTGTTTGTTGTTCGTGTTTTATTTTTAACAAACTAAAATCAGTTGCTGACATTGTGGCTTTCGATAAAAAGGTTGTTTTCGAGGAGACATCAGTCGTTGTGAGATCGTTTATGGATGATTGTTCTGATTTTCGGGTTGTATTATATTGTTTCTTGTATGGATTTTCCTTTTTATTTCTTGTTCGACCTTGTTGGACTGTCACTTGTGGGGTAAGGACGGCTCTGGCTCTGGTTGTGACTGCCCCGGCAAACACCTGAGAAGGTGGCCAGTTACGTAATTTCGGATCGAGCCCATAATCATAATCAACTAGGTCGTCGACGTTGTTCTTAATAGGATGTCTTGATAAATAATCTGGCAAACAATTGTGACGACCCTTTATGTGTATTATTTTTTCGATATTATATTCTTGGAGTAGCAGCGAAATTCTATCGACTCGTTTGTTCTTAACTGTTCGCTCCATCATATTGCAGATAGGGCAGTGATCCGTATAAATAATAATGTTTCTCCCCAATAAAAACGGTCGCATTCGTTTAATGCATAACCAGATTGCTAATGCTTCCTTTTCAATTGTATCATATTTCTTCTGTGCTGATGTAATCAATTGTGAGTGATAATATATGTTGTGCATGTTTCCATTTATCTGTTGTTGCAGGACACCCCCTATCCCCACATCTGAAGCATCTGTGGACAGTATGATTGGTTTTGTATCATCTGGAAAATTCAGGAGAAGTGGTGTACTTGTTAATAATTGTTTTAATTTGTGAAATGCTTCAGACTGTGGTTTGTTCCACTGGAATTTATGTTGTTGCTTCTTGGTTAGGTTCGTAATGGCATGTCTCGATGCAGCTACTGACGCGAATTGCGGTATAAACTTTCGATACCAGGCCAAAGCACCAATGAATTTGTTGGCTTGCCTTAATGACTTGGGTTCCGGTATTTCCAAAATTGACTTGATCTTTTCTTTAAGTGGGGTAACAGTAGTTGAACTAATGCTGTGACCCAAATAGTCTATTTGTGATTGTGCTATTGCGCATTTCGGCGGGTTTAGTTGTAGGTTGTTTTTAGTCAAGGCCATAAATACTTGTTTTAAGTGTTGGCAATGTTCTTCAAAAGTTCGTGAATAAACGATAATGTCATCGAGATATACCATTGAAAAATTTCGACAGTGCTGCAACACATTTGTCATGACTCGTTGAAATGTAGGTGGAGAGTTCTTGAGACCTTGTGGCAGCACATTAAAATGGTATAATCCAAATGGAGTAATAAATGCCGTTTTTCTTTTATCTGCTTCACGTATCGGAAATTGCCAAAATCCACTCTTTAAATCCAGTTTGGTGAAGTACTTGTACCCAATTCCAAGGTTCTGTAATGTTTGTTCCATATTGGGTAATGGGTAATTGTCCTTTAAGGTTATCTTGTTTAATTTCTTATAATCGACTACCATTCGCCAAGATCCATCCTTTTTAGGCGTTAATAATGCTGGTGCAGCATACGGAGAGTTGGAAGGACTGATCAGTCCTGATTCCATCAATTGCTGACACATTTTGTATAATGCTTCATGTTTTTCTTGTGTTGTTCTATATGGTTTCGAACACGGCGGTGGATGTGGAATGGTGTCTATTGCATGTGAAATTGTCGTATTTGCTATTGTCGTTTTGCTTGTATCAAATAATTTATTGTACTGGAGGAGGAGCGTTTCTAATTGTTTCCTTTGTTCAATAACGTCAACATGTTGTATCAACTTTTTAATATGATTTCGTGGTGTTGTATTATCCGAGTCAATGTTGCTGATTAGATTAATCAGATGGGTGCTCTTGGTTGTATCTGGAAATATGGTTGATTGACCAAGAGTTTTTCCTTTCGGCATGAAACGAGGATAGTGTGATGACGGGTTATAAATAGAGACGGTTGCTGTATGTTGTTTAACGTTTAATAACGAATCTGGAGTGGTAATAAAAAGCTGTTGGTTAAAATTGCGGAATGGTTTGAATGCTACTGTTGCGGCTGAGATCCCAACTGAAACTTGTGCTTGTACATATTGTTGCGGCGGTATTTTTATTTGCTGGGTTAATGTCACTGGAAACTGGATAGCTTCAATATCTTTATCCATATTTATTCTAATTTTTTCACTTTTTTCCCCAATTGAAATTATTTGTTTTTTACTATTGATTTTTAAGTTGTGCTTGTTAACATAATCCATTCCCAAGATGCAATCTGTATAAAGGTTCTTGGCAATATATGCCGTCATTCTTGTTGTTTTATGCCCCATTTTTATTGAAAGTTCCGTTTCTCCAACTACTTTAAATGGAGTACAGCCATCTGCCATAACAAATTGAAGTTGTGTTTTATTGATATATTTCTTATGTTTTGTTTGACGTAATGATTTTTCGTTAATGAGTGTTCTAGTTGCTCCAGTATCGATCATTACTCTCATTCGCTTGTTATTTATAAGTGTAGTGATAAAAATTAATGATGATTTAGATGGATTTTTATTATTTCTATCGGAGACAACACCATCGTTCGTTGACTCCGTTATTGAAAACGAGTGCAGTTCCGAGCCCAATGGTCGGAAGCACCACATACATAACAACAGTTTGAACGTTTTTGCTGTTGATTTGGTTTAATAAGATTGTTGTTTTCCGGATTATTAGAACAAGGTGGATAATACTCTGACGCTTGCTGAAGTTGAGAATTCATTCTGTATTGTCGATTATACGGTAATCGATTGCTGTTATTTTGTACATTTTCATGTACTGAATTGTAAAATGATTGGTTGTGTAGCGGTTGTGTCAGTGGTAATTTATTGTTATCAGTTGTGCTGATTAAACTCTTAAGAGCTTCTTCAAATTGAGCGAATTCCAAAAATTGTTTCGGCGTAGTTGGATTTTTCTTCCTTACTTCGTAATGTAATGTTGGATCCAATCCAGAGAACAGATGTCTTAATTTTGTTGTATCGGACATCGTTGGATCTGCTTCTTTACATAGTTTGATAATTTCAACATAATATTGCCGAACAGTTTGGTTAGTGTTTTGTTTGTAGTGTTCTAAACGTGTAAAAGCCAAATCATGCTTGTATGGTGATGTGTAGGCTTTCGTAATTACTTCAACGAATTCGGACCATGATGTAAACATATCTTTCAGTTCGTTAAACCACACCAATGCATCTCCCTTCAATTGATTTGAAACATATTTCAATTTTGTTTCATTCGACCATTCCGCTAATGTAAATTGCTGTTCTACCTGTTCTAGCCAGGTGACAACATTTTCTTTCGCGCCATGAAACACTTTTGGATTCTTTATAATGTCTTGTATAAAGGCTTTTCGTATCTCTGGTGAACATCCCTTTAAATAAGTAACTGTCTCCACCGGTGCCCGTTCCGTTGAAATAGAAGTACCCAAATCATTTCTTGTTTTGGATAATGTTGTATCGTATTGTAGCAAAAATTCTTCACAAAATGTGGAAAAATCTGGTAACTTAGACTTCTTTTGCACAAACCAGAGGTAAACTTCCGGACTCAATAATTCTGATGTATAAAATAATTTTTGGCTGTTGTTTAATTGCAGTTTACTAAAGTTTTCTATAAGTTGCCGTAGCCAGGTCGTTGCATTCATTTTTGTATGGTAGACTGGAATTTTGTCAATTTGTTTTTCCAACCATTCATTTATGGTCATTTTTTCTAAGATTGTTTGCAGTTGTTCATCATTATTTAATTGAGTAGTGGATTCTGATATTATTGATGTTTGTGCTCCTTGTTCTGGCAAGGTGAATTTGTTTGCGAAATATTGTTGTAGCTGGTCTTTGAAAGTACTCCATTCATTGTAGTTTATTCGTGCTTTTATTGTTTCGTACCATTGCATACGTAATGAGGGGTCCAAAAACGATATTGCCGTACATATCCAATTGGTTTGCGGGTATTACCCCCCAAATTACTTTAAAAGTAATTTTGTAAATATTTGTTCGATAACATAAAACCATTCTTCTAGATTCTCTTCTGCTATCCCTTTTAAAACCGGGATTTTTTGTAGATATTTTTCTTCTATTATTTTCTGGTATTCTTTGAGTTCTAGTAATTGTTTCATATCCTGTTCTTCTTGGTTCTCTGACATGATTGATTGAAAAAAATTAGTATTTTGTTGTGGCAATTGGATTGATTGTTGTGAGAGATCGTATAATGTATCAGTGGTTTCGTGATAGGCCAGAGTTATATTTCTGTTTTGTTTTCGAGATGTAGGCTGACATTGAATGTCTTGTATTTTTCGGTTATTTAAATTTATTTGGCTGCGAGTGCCTTTATTCATATGCGAGCTTAAGATAGCTGTGTGGCGAGTTTATTTCCGTATTAAACAAATAAATTATCTAGTATATGATGTAGTTTATAATTACGTAAAAAACTAGAAAAACTGAGCACTTAGCGCGATTTATCTTTGCTGTAAATAAAAGCGCTTAAATAAGGTCAGTTAACAAAAAAAAATGATAATTCTGGTAAAAAAAACAACAACAAAGGGTAGTCATACTTCACTGAGAGTGGATCAGACTCCAATCTCTCCGTAAGGTTTTATAGTCTCTTTGACTTTGGGAGATATAATAAGGGATTCACATCCAAGTAAAACGAACAACTACAATGAATATATAGAAAATTATGAGTAGTGGAGGTTGTGTTAGTGTCTACGTGATGTGAACAAGTTCTTTTTTAACTGTAATGCATTTAATATCGTAAAATAGTTACCAGTTGGCGAATCGCTCAGGCCCCCACTTGTTAGCTTTCTCTGTACTTCTCTTCTCTTGATCGGTACGCTGGCATCCGTATTTTCGGATCCAACTCAGGAAACCTTGACCCCGGGTGGAGTCGAGAAGAACTAACAGAATTTCTTACCTTCACTTGTTTGACTATTTAATCTTCTATTACGAATTTTAAAACACGTACTTTATTGTTAGAGTTAAAAGAAAATGAATATATAAGTGAACAACGAAAACAGAAAACGTGTTGATAGTAGATGATAAAGTTAAAAAGAGACGAGAGAGAGAATGAGAAAGGAAGTTTAGGCGGATAGTGAAAGAGAACAAAATCTGAATAAGACGATAAGTTGACTAATAGATAATATTGCGCAACATGTCCGATGTATACTGGACAACAGTACTGAAAGACAAGGGAGAATAAAAGAAATACAAGTTATGATCTGCTGAAGATGTCATTGGGAGCAGATCATAACAGGGCTAATGCCCATTTTCCTTGAAAACTTGCTTGGATTGAATGAAGGTTTCAACCTCGCACTCTCTCTATTGTAGAAATTTTATTTTACACCTGTTTGGTCTTTTCCGGATGATAGAAGAAGTATTTTTCATCAAATTGGTAAAAGACTTCACATAAGAATTACGTTTCGATCCAACTAATCGTGGTTGCGAACAAGTTCAGCAGTAAATTCGAAAAGACCCAAATGGTAGAAGAAAAAGGAAGGCGATCTTCATGCTAGTTTAAGCATCAGAATCTTTTCAATTGCGACTCATCTTATAGAGCTTCTCTAGGGCTACCAAATGGTATATTCAGTCAAATAGTGGCATAATATTTACAAAATGCAACAGTCAGTTTGAAAATGTACCTTTTCGGGAGTATGTCTGTGTTGACTGCATAGGATTTCACGATTGTATTTTACAGGAACTCTTTTCATATGATTTTGTAGAGAATTGAATGGGCTATCTTTTGGGGAAAAGTTCAAGTCACAACCATCAAAATTGACAGAGAAAAGCGCAAAATGCAAACAGTGCCTTTAGAATTTACGATTCGTGAACCCACATTAAAATAGAATTAGAATCAAAAAAATCACTAAACAGTTATAAAATTCATTCATTCCACGCTAAACTTGTATAGCATGTAAATCGAATGCACTGAGATTTCATTGCAGTAGTTGTAGTAAATTTCATTACTTGAAATGCTTAGTAAACGATATAACTATCGTACTATGAGGTAAAAGTCCGAGTGAAAACTTGATTTTTTTCTCATATCTATCAACGGGAAGACATAAATTTGTGTCTTCCTCTCATCACGTTTAATTAATTTGTTTAATATTATCGATATTTGTGTTTTCAAAAAGGCTATATCAGCGTCCTCTTCTCCATTTACTTTGCCTATTCAGCCGATAATGACACGATAAAGGAATTCAGATATTGTGGTTTACATTTAGTTCAATACATAGGATGATTTAATATAGTGCTATTCAAACACAACTATCTATCGTACTATGAGGTAAA